GGGGGGGGGGGGGCAAGAGGAAAAGAAGGAAAAGAAAAGAAGAGAAAGGGAGGCTGGCATTGACGATTATCCCAATTGTCCATGATTCATTATCAGTTAGGTCATTAAGGCGATTCTTTTTTTTCTTTCTTTGTCACTGCTATTGTTCTTGTCGTTCGTACGCTTATGGACCTTGATCGTTTTTATATTGTTTCTTGATATCGCGTCATGCTCTCCCTCTTTTTTTTTCTTTTGTTTTCTTTTTATTGGCATTGGGCCAGTCAACCCTTAATGCACCCTAAAAATACACTATTACACATGGATCATACAGGTATAGACATTCGTACATACATACATACGCAGCCACGCACAAAGCACACATAAAGCTTCTTTGACCTCCTCTAATCTTAGCCTCCACCGTTTTTCTTGTCATCCCGCGAATCTTAACGCACGACAGGCGTGCGAGGGGACAAGTGAGGTGAAGCGAGGGTGGAGGGAGTTACAAAAAAAATTAGGGCGAAATGCGGCCTATGGCAATTGACTATACAAAAATAAATAACAATACGATTAGAAAAATAAAATAATGTTACGGCGTTATCGGTGTTTTTTTTTTTATGTACGTGTATACCATGTGTATATATACGTATATACACGCACATGTTTCATAAAGAAGGTCGCGCGTTATCTTTTCCTTATTTGCGCCCATTGACGCTCGTCGTTTGTCTCGAGAGAAATTCATGGCGTTGAGAAGATTATCCGCGAATTCGAAAGAAAGAAGAAAAAAAGAAAAAAAAAATTAAAAGATAATGCTTCAAACAACGAAAATTTCATTTTAGCGCGACGCTCCCTCTCCTGTGTGATTTACTCCGTTTGTTGATTTTCCGTCTCCTCCTTTCTTTAAGTTTTCTTACTTTTTTATTATCGTGCTCTCTCTCATTCCTCGAGTTCTCGCCGATGCGCGCACGATGACGATGGGAGATCTGTAGAAAAGAAATCAGAGAGGAAATCTTGATTTTGGTTCGATATCTTTTTTAAAAAAAAAAATGTTTCCTAAACACGACAGGAGACACATTGAGATTCTCCTCTCTCTCTTTTTTTGTTATCCGCTTGTTCTTTTTTTATTTCTTCTATGTCCCTCCCATTTAAATACAATTGTTTATCATTATCATTATCATTATTATTATTATTAATTACGCGTTATCGCACGATCGTCAGCGGTGGATTCGGCGCGTAACGTGCGAAATGCTCCATGGTAAATAATAAGGAATTATTATCGTCCCCGTATGCATCGTTTATGTATACTCGATACGTATGTACTTGATGTATTTATAATTAGATTTATATTTGTCGATTTGTATACACGTAACGTTTCTTCTTTTATCTTGTATTAATTAATGAAAGTGTGTGCGTGTAACGTCGAATGCAGTGCTTTCTTTTTCAGTGTCGTTGCTGCTTTCTCCCACTTTGTTATCCGACACGAGGCGCCAATGTTATTTTTGGATGACGAATAACCGTGTAACGTTTGCCTGGATGTATATAATGTGTTTCATGTACGTATGCATGTGCGTAAGATGTAACAATGTAAATATGTTAATGTAAAACCGATCGCGAGCGGAGCCAGAGCCCTTTCATTACTTTAGATATTCATTTTAAATATTTGTTTTCTCATCCATACTCGAAAGCGATACCTATTCCTCATAATAAGTATGTATATTATAAGAATGAACCCCGTACAGTACGGATGGTCGCTAGCTACACTCTATCTTGTTACGCACGTACCATTTCCTCGCGTTACCTGTGACTTTATTCATTTCTGTGCCTTGTCTTTCTCCTTTCATCGACACAAAGGGACAAACACGTACGCACACAATCAATTTTCCATTCGCAATAATAACGCATTCAATTTTCCTTATCTTTATCTCTCTCTCTCTTTCCTTGTTCACTAGTCGACGCATTCGCCATGACGATATACGTTGGCGCGTGCGCATGTGCGTTTTAGTATGGCGCCCCCTCACGCGAGTAGAAAAATCTATTTACCGGCGACCTATGCCTGCACACGTATAATGCGTGAACTCCTGCGCGGCCATTTTAGTGGCTTCGCATCGAATGGTGAAGAAAATGTATATATATATTTTTGTTCTTGTTTCTTTGTAACTTTTTTGGACGATAGCGACGACGACGACAAAGACGACGACGAAGAAGAAGAAGAAGAAGAAGAAGAAGAAGAAGAAGAGGGGATGATTCTCTTGGGCCTGCATGATTTTTCTTTGTGTTGTATTTCTGATCTTTCCCTTCTTTATGTCTTTTCTTCTCTCGTTTTGAGATGCTACAATTACGCGCACTTCATTCGACTGCTCGTGGGCATTTTTGTTTGCCTTCTATGCGTTTCCTTTCGTATAAGCACGCACTCTCTTTCTCCTCTGCTCCCATACTCTCTTTCTCTCTCTCTCTCTCTCTCTCTCTCTCTCTCTCTCTCTCTCACGTACATCCATGTCCCAGTCACTCATCGACTCGCTCGCACATTTTCACCACACAGCTAGGGACTTTATCCTTCCCTCGTACTCTTGTCACGCGAACCCAAATCATACTGCCATGTCCCAGTCACTCATCGACTCGCTCGCACATTTTCACCACACAGCTAGGGACTTTATCCTTCCCTCGTACTCTTGTCACGCGAACCCAAATCATACTGCCAACTCTCGTACCTTTTCTGTTCCTAGTTATAATCATATATCGCTTCCCTAGTTCATGGTATCCGCCGCATTCCTATAAAATCCCGTGACTCGCCTTTCTTAGAAGCGTTGATACTCGCAGCTGATCTTGTCGCTGACCTTACCACATCGCCAGGTTATATCAACATCGATACGTTTCCGGTGACCGTAGTCAGCCTTACCACCACAACCCAAAACGTTCTTACATTTGACGCCAGTACTGCTTGCGATCATGCTGCTGTCGTTTTTCCTAATCTTGCTGATGATGCTGGTAGTGTTGTTGCTGCTTCTGCTGTTGGGGTTGCTGATGCTCCTGCTATTGCTGCTGTTGCCATCGCTACCTGTGCCGCAGGTGGTACTCTTGTTGTTGCTGTTGCTCTTCGGATATTCGAAAATCCTGGTCAACGTCAACTCCGGTGTACCTGGCGGATTAATCGCCAACGTGGTCACTGCTGGCGCGCTGACGTAATCAGTGGTCAGGTGGTGGTATTTGAAGCTTACGAGGTGTGGTGCTGTGTGGCCGCAGTTGGTTCTTTTGGGGAACGTCTTGGGGTTAGCCCCAAGTTAGTTCCAGATGCGAAGGAACGAGTCCCAGGAACCCGTCGCCACCGCCATTCCGTCCTCTGTTACGCCAAGACAGGAAACGCGGTTGTCGTGTCCAGCTAGGATTCCTGAAAGGATGGATTTTACGGGTATCCGTTGCAGAATATCACTCAACATAATTATTCACTCCTGGCAATACAATCCCTTTTCTTTTTTTTTTCTTCTACTACCATAAATTGATAAGAAGCTAGATTTTCCCACGAAAGGGGAGAGATAAGAAATTACAGTTGTAACTGAGAGAAGGACCATCCAACAAAGTATCTCTCCTCTCTCGTACGACCTTATCACATTAAGTGTATCGTAGAATGAAAAAAATACCATGAACGAGTATAATATAAATTAGACTCACCAGCTCGTTCCGTCTTCATCGAGTCCCAAACGTTGCAATTGAAATCGTCGTATCCAGCAAGGAGCAATCTACCGCTCTTACTGAAGGCGACGCTCGTTATCCCGCAGATAATGTTATCGTGACTATACATGGCTAGTTCCTGATCTGCTCTGATGTCGAAGAGTCTGCAGGTCGCATCGTCGGAGCCCGTCGCAAAAGCATACCCGTTCGGGAAGAACTATACAAGAGCAGAAAGTACATTTATGAAAACTATGTTTAATAAGGTATCAAAGAGTGATACCAAGGACGATGACCATCAGAGTCATGGCCTGGATCCCAAAATGAACTCACCGTTACGGCATTGATGTCACTCTCGTGCCCTGGGAACGTCTGCTTGCAAGAGCCCTCGCGTATGTCCCAGAGTTTCGCGCTGGCGTCGCAGGCGCCGGAAACAAACGTACGCATATCCGGTGCAAGCGAGAGCGACATCACGTCGCCAGTGTGACCGATGAAGGAGGTGCACTGTTGTCCAGTCTCAATATCCCAGAGGGCACTGGATGTGCAATAACAAAAATCATTACACGCACGTCATACGCAGTCGAGGACAAAGACCACATAAGGATCAACACAAGAGCAGCACCAACAGCCACGACTTTTCACTACAACAGAATATGAATTAACGCACGAATCACTTACCAGGACATGTCGCCGGAGCTGGTGACGATCTGGTTGTCGTCAAGGAACCGACAGCACGAGAGATATCCGGTGTGCCCAGGAAGCTCTCTGCTAACTCGCACGTTACCTTCCCTCGTTTTGAGACTATAGATGGAGCAGATATTATCAAGACCTCCGCACGCTACGTAACTTCCTGAAGGCGCGTACGCGCACGTCATCACCCAGGACGAACGTAATGGTATAGCGTGGACCTTGTTGGTGGTATAGCTGTCCCATACGATCAGTTTGCCGTCCTGAGACGCTGACACTAGGTTCCTACTAACAGAGATGATTCCGTTTGTAACACCCAAGAGCATTGATCTTCAATTGTATCTCGTACCACTTCCAACCTCATGGATTTTAAAAACAAACTCAGTGCTCCGTCACGTTAGATGGCACCTTGGGTACGAATTATTTTTAAGCTCGTTAGATAGCGCATTATACCTGGAGTCACTGCCCCAATGCATCGCGTATATCTTGGCTAAGTGTCCACGTAGCGTGCGCCTTGTGCGCATCTGTATCCGGCCAATTGGCTCCATGCCCGCTGTCGCCTGGTTGAGACTCGTGTCGCATGCCGCCTTCCTCGCATCCTGAAATGACAATTAAAAGTTGCTTTACTGCACAGCTTCATTACGTTTCTTTGCTGCTGGAAAAATCATCCGTGTACAGAAATCTGGCCACGTTTGCATAGAATCAGGACACCCATAGTCCATGGGACTGAGGTATACGAGAAGAGGCGCAAGAAGATACAGTGCGAGAGGAAGTGAGCCAAGTGCCAAGATCAATGTGTTCGCCGATGAGCTTTGAATGAATTCTTACGTAAAATTTCGTCCAATGGAAGAAAAAAAAAAGTCCAGAATGCTCATGAGCGTCGAAAGGTCAAAGACCAAAGTAATAGGACACCTTTGTAAGATCCGGTGATACGTAAACTAATTGACGAAGAAAAAATAGAAAACGAAATACAAGAGATGGCATTGACTGTTCCTACAACCAGATGAGGTAGGAGTATCGATAGAAAATTTATAAGGCCCTGGATCAAATGCGTTTTCATTTGCATCCCCTGACGACCTCTGAAGGCGCTACGATATTTATCATTCTCTTTTCTCTCCTCTATCTCTCTCTTGAACTGTCTATGTTCCCTTCGGTATCTCCACCCTGCTCTGCGAGTTCCGGTGCGCCGCGGGGGTGAACGTTTGTATGGTCAGTTCATAGAGTTTACGCAAGACTTATCGTTCCCTAAGTACAGTCAGTAACTAAGGGGTTGCACATAGAGGTGCATGGGATGACAGGAGGGTGAAGCGTGGAAACGGTGAACGGGAGCTGAAGAGAGAAAATGTGTACAAGGGACACTTAGACAGTGGGAGAGATAAAGAGAGAGATAGAGTGAGGAAAAAAAAGAGAGAGTTCTGACTTGACATTTTGAAACAGTGAACGAGCGAGAGAAGGGTGGTAGCGTATTGATCGGGGAAGAGACGGTTATGCCGCGCCCTACCACCACCACCATCATCCCCCCTCTCCGTACCTCCGCCGGCACGACTACCACCATGAGAAACTCAAACCGACACTATCCCATGAAACGTTAGCAATAGCAGCAGCACCGTCACACTACAGACACCGGGTAGAAATACAGAAGGGTGCTTTGATATCCTCGAACTTTCTGTGTTCTCTACTCCCTCCCAGTCTGTACACTCTACTTCATTCTGTACACTTCTACTCATGTAGAGAGAGAGAGAGTGAGAGAGAGAGAGAGAGAGAGAGAGAGAGAGAATGGTATCCCAGTGGATAGACGATTTGCATATTATGAGCAAAAGAAATACTAATCAGCTATTCGCCTGATAAGTGTACCACGTGGAACAAATAGTAAGAAGTACGCCGACGATAATGTTGAACGATGTGTGTAACGATATCTTGTAGCTACCAAACAAGGTATTGAAATTATAATTGATGTAATCAAGACGTTGGACGATGACTAGGATATGTAATTTTGGAGGCTCCGTCGACAGCGTGGAATTTTTGGGCTCGCAAGTATTCAGTGCCAAGTGCACTCTGGCTCTAAGATGTCTCGGTTGATGCTTTTTTTGTTATCTTAAAAGACAATAGCAGCAGACTGTTGCGCCCCAGTATGCTATAACTGTGACTCCCACTCACGTTCAGGATGGTTGCCAAGATGGAGCTCTAGGATTTTTCGGAAAGGATTATTCGTTATTAAATTGCAGAAGCGTTCGAACAGATGGACATTTTGTAATGAAAAAGAAAAGGAAAGAAAAAAAGAAAAAGTTCTTTCACTCACCCTGATGGCATTTTTGAGCGTTTCCGCCTCCTGGCGCAGACTGTCCAGCTCGTTCATTTTGTGTGCGACTTGTGTCTTGTGGGTAGGGAGTTCAGGGCCGTACGAACGCCCTTAGAATTTTGACGATAATGGTGCTGGTACAGTTGGGGCCCCGTTCCGCGGTCTCGAGGAAACAGAGAGAGAGAAAGGGTGCCGGGTGCAGGTTCCTGGAGGGGTAGGGTTGGGGAAGAAGGAAGGGTTGGTTATTTAGGGGGGCCCGGTGTCACGCCGCCGTTTCGTCCGATGTGTCGCGGCCTTGGCCACCTTCGACTATCCACCTCCTGGAGGTTACCCGACCTCGTGTTCCTGTTTCCTCGGCGACGAACTTCCACCGACACTTCCACTGCTGCTACCTTTCTCGCGCTCTCCGTAAAAGCTACCGCAGGCAGAACCAGCTCTTAGCCTCCTCTGATCCCAGTCCCACACGTCGGCTTTGACACCCTCTTCCGTGATCCGTGCCACCCCTGAAAAGAAAAATCCTCCTTAGTACACTTTACGACGACATGATCATAGTACACTCCGATTAATTTCTCGCTCACTCATTCATTCATGCATCGACCGTGGGCCATTCCGCATTCATAGAGCCTGACTTAAATCTCTATTTTTATTTTCTTTTTTTTTTCATTTACAAGACTCCACGAGTGACACGTGGCTCCCGTGAGAATCTTACATTTTAAAAATTCATTACCGACCGCCATTTTCATAAAACTCACCAACTTTTTATAAATATATATCATTCCAGAAAAAGAAGATCAAGATGCTGCTTCGAGTACCCGAGATTACAGATTGCCATACATAATTTTACCTACTGCCTTGAGAAGATACGTGCATTTACTATAGGACAAATAAGTGGTTATAATGGCACGTTTCCACGAGAGCGTACGAAAAACAAAGTCTAATCGGAGCAAGCACTGAGGATGTTTCTGCTGCGAGAGAGAGAGAGATAGAGAGAGAGCTACACGTCATGGACGTGTAAGAGAGAGGGAGTGGGAGCGAATGAGAGTCAGGCGGGTGAAATATCCAAGAGGAGTGTTTACTCGCCGATAAAGAGCAACACTACCCGACATTTTGGCACTGACGATCACGCGAATTAATAAAAGCGTGCAAGAGTTCTAGAATAAAGAGCTCGAAGGAAAAAAAAAGTAACATAAAATCAAACTGTCAAGAGAAAATAGGAAGGAAAATTTAATTGGAGAATCATGCGAATTAATAAAAGCGTGCGAGAGTCCAAGAAAAAAGTGCTCGAAGGAAGAAAAAAAAAGTAAAACAAAATAAAACTGTCAAGAGAAAATAAGAAGGAAAGTTTAATTGGAGAATCCCGGGCGGTCTGTCGAAATCGCCAAGGTCGTAAGTGAAAAAAAAAAAAGAAAAAAACATATTTTAACTGCACGCTCGTAAAGGGAGTTTTGTGTAAACCATGGAAATCGTAAAAAACGAGCCAAGATGGAGTAAAAAAGCAGCTCGGTATCATACGTGAGACAAGGATATTGACAAAGTAACGTACAAGTAGCAGGTAAACGAATATCCCATTCTACTCCCTTTGGAGAGACAACTTACTGTGAAAGAAAGAATAAAAATGTCAAATGATAATGCAAGGCGATGTGAAAGAAGAAAAAGAAAGAAAAAAAGCAGAAAAAAGTTCCGGCCGCTCCTAGAGGCACTTGTGGCTTCTCCGTCGGTAAGTACAGTCCGCCCCGTTACCGACTCAGTACGGACAAGGACTAACGTAGACTTCGTATCGCGAATATCGGTCGAACGCAGGCGCGTATCCTCGCGAGCCAGGAAGTACCGGGTGTTCCGATAAAAAAAATGTTCTGGGGCGGCGACGAGAAGGGATAGGATCGAAGGGGACGTGTAGGAAGGACAACGGCGGATACGAGAAAACTTAAAGCAAAGAGAAGAAGAGAACGACGAAAGACATTAAAAAAAAAAAAGACGAGAACAGACAATGCCAAGGGACGTAAAAAGGGAAAGAAAAGACAGAGAACATATAATCCCTAAAGCAATAGGATGACTGATGAGACTTACTCTCCCTTAACCACTCTTGTCAGAACATCATCTGAGACCCGGTGGACATAACCTCTTGTCGTCAAGGGGGTAGTGCACAGCCCTCGACTCCACTCGAGAAATCCGCACGATCACAGAGCGCGTCGTCAGCCGGGCTATGCGCGTATATCGGGTTAGATCAATAAATAATCCCACGGTATAAAGAAAAAAAAATTTATCCAAGCACCAGGAAGTAAGATTAAACCAGTAAAAAAAACGGCACTAGGATTAGACCTCACCAGGAACACGATCACGAACTGTTAACAAGTACCTTGTAGGAAATTCGTTAACAGTGAAAAAACCTCTCTCTCTCTCTCTCTCTCTCTCTCTCTCTCTCTCTCTCTCTCTCTTCAGAGATAATACAACGAGCAAG